TATTTTATCAAAATTAGGAAAATATTCGTGGATCACACATAAGCAGTAATGGAAGAGAAAGAAGTTAACAAACATATTGGACGAATTTTATTTAAAGGTCAAACATTTTATTGTAGCGTATACAATAAAATATAAAAATATTGTGGTACATGTTGTGTAATAATGACAAATTATTTATTAATGAATCTATAGTTTGAGTACTTGCTAATTATGCACTTGCTTATTAGCGACTGATTAGCTGTGATCGTATAAAATGGTTGCTGCGAAAGCTTGTAGTTCGAGTTTGGCCCAGTATGAATTTCAATCCATAACACCCAAAACCAGAATTAACGAAATAACTGTTATTTTGCAAAACAGTTATGAAATGATAACTTAAGAAATAACAGTTTAGCTGTTAAGGGCACATCCTTAGTTTTGTGAAGGAAGTTCGCCTCCATTCTTCTCGCAGTTGTCGTACGTTTAGCACCACTCGAGGCACCTTACAGTGCTTCTAGTAATTCAACTCAGTCGTGTGAAGATTCAATTGTGTGAAAACCGGGACAGTGGCTTTGTACCAACAATGGACATATGATTTCCCGCCTTTGTACAACAGACGCAGTTGTAATAATGTGCCGTATCTGCAACAAATTGAGTTTTCCAATATAAAGAAAGTGTTAAATTATTTACTGTAATACCTGACATAGAAATTAAAGATAATGAGAACTTTTATTTTCATAGTTATTTTAGAATTATATATTATATGTATTTATCTATCACTTGACAAAATATGTTGTGTACTCATTATTGATCTCTTGTTTAAATTAAGAATGTTCTGATACAAGTTCAACGAACTATTAATGATTTTCCCTCATATTTTTAGTTTTTCTTTTCTTTTCTTGATTTATTTATATTTTTTAGTGCATTTTTAAGCTTCTAAACACATTTTTAGTGCCTTAAATTGGCGGAGGTGTACCAAGGCCTCAGTTCATGTCACTGCCTCTGACTGGAATGTCCTAGGTTTTGAGTCCCGACGGTGACATGATTTTTGACATTAGCTAGATAGCTAGGTCGAGATCAGTCGCTGTCTGGAGGAGACTTCTAGCGGCTGGCTACTCTGCTCTTTCCATAGTTTCTCTGGTAACACCCGGCGGATACCCTAACAAACGCCACGGTGTGCGATCTTTCCTTCATCTTCCTGGTCTTACCCTCACCTCTTACATACATTTACACTACCACCCACGCCGGGAGGCCAGGAGGGAGCTTAGAGGTTGGTATTTACTTGGCTGCCCGGGTGATGCCGCGGCGAAGATGCCGACGTTTCGGTCGCCATTCTGCGACCTTCCTCAGGGCGTAATGGCATCCATGGTGACCGAAACATCGGCACTTTTGCCATGGACGCGGCGTCACCCGGTCAGCCAAGTAAATACTGACTCCGGCCGCGGAAGCCAACGCTCTCAGCTTAGAGGTTGTCCTGCTGGGGCGGAGTCCCGCTTGTGGGAGATACCTTGTTGGGGAAGCCGACGAGTGGGTCTGCGCTGGATCTCGCCATCCAGCGGGGAAGATCACCGCCCCTCCTCTTGCCAATGAGCGCGTGAGCGTGAGCGTGAGCGTGAGTTGGTGTTGCAGCGCCATGGAGCGCGACGCGGCGGCGGAGCGGCGGCGCGAGGCTGAGCGCGTCATGGTGCACGAGGGACAGGCCTTGTGGCGCCGGCAGCTCGAGGAGCGCCGCCTGCAGCAACTGCGCGACCAGCGAGAGGTAACGCGCGCATTTGCTCCGGCCGGAGACGGAGAGGCACGGAGGGGTTGGGAGGAGAGGAAGACAGGGCGAGGCAAGGGAAAGCCAAGAGGTTAAGAGAAATGGGAAACGGAACGACACTACGATATTTAGAAATAACTCGACACTGAAAATCGAAATTCTTGACTTTTCAAGCAAAGCATTACGTGGGATCCAAAGTAAATCTCCCAAATCAAACAATCGAGTAATTATCTCAATTTAGTAGATTCTGTTGTAGTATGAAAAGATGACACTTTTTAAATATTCAGTTGAATAAAGCGAACCGTTCGAAAGAATTCAAGGACACATACCCAAATACAGTTCTTAAACTTCATGGCCGTTCGTTCTGTTCTGTAGGGCAGTGAAAACTGGACAGTCGACACCAAAAGTGCTCGAACAATAGAAGGTGCAGCGATGACTTTGCTGAAATAATTCAGGTGTTACTAAACAAGATAGGCCAAGTAAGGAAAGAGTTGACGATATCGAGTTTAAATGAAACAAGCATCAAGGGGTACAACTTGTAATGAGTTTGAACACATACATACTTTTATAGTGCATTCTTATCGATTCCAAAGACGACTCGACCTCATAGAGGACTTTGTTTTTCGCCTAAAAGAATACAACTTCTTTCATTATTGATAATCTATTGCAAATTGACGAAGATAACTATTGACTTCCTTTCATGAAACAAAATCTTGTGTCGAAAAAGGCAGAACATTTTCCAACGCAATGTAAAGGAACTATAACTTTATTTCAAAATATTCTGAGAGCTGGCACCATGGGCCATTAGACAAGCTGACCGTGATTTTACGGAAAGTGAAATAAGAAAACTTAATAACAAGACCGATTGAGTACAAAACCTGAATGGTAATATGTTTTAAATGTGTGGGAGCAATAATGAAATGAGAGGTTAAAACGGAAGCCCTTAAAAAACTGCCTTGAACTTACTTTGTGCACAAAAAGTTCGCAAAAACCGAATAGGAATTCAATTCGAAGTACTAGAGAAGGGAGGCTAGGAGTCAGATTGCTGAATGATGGTTTCCAAAAGAATAAAATTACTAAATATTTCAAAAAATAAAGCATGGAATGGAGAAAAGAGAAAAAACATGCACATGTTAATACATGTATTACTTATTATAGTGCGAGGGTAACCGTAAAAGTCATGGTAACTTTTTTCGCAAAATAGTGCGGATATAACAGGAAATTTTAAGGTAAATGTTTCGGATCTCACGATATATTAGCGTGTAGTAACGCTTCAAACACAATATTTATATGAATTTTGAGCAACTTAAGGGATCTCTATCAGTATAAGAAAAATAAGTCGTTCATTGTGTATATTCCTCTAATTACAAGTAATTAACGCGATTCTTTTCATATTTATTCACTTGCATGTTACACATCAAGTCCTGCGGATTAATCACTCAATGAATGTATTAGCAAGCTACCGACAATTTCGAAGATTAAAATTGCCTCAATTACCTGTACCTCAGAAAGAATACTTGCCATGACTTTTGCATTTCCTTCGTATAAAACTAAAACTCACACTAAAACTGAGCTAGTTGCTACTCTATATCGCAAAGATACCAAGGAAAGTGGCGCATTATAACTATTCTAATCACGAGACGTGAGGGTGAAGTCAATCAACGCACCGGTTTTCTATAGTTAGTCCCTGTCAAATGCAGGCCATAGCAGAAAATACTTAATATCGATTTATTTCCTTCCTAACGATTCCTTGTGGGAAGCAACAAGTTTATGTAATGGAAATAGAAACCAGAATGATAGCCTTCTCTTCAAAACACAGCAAAGGGTATAAATATTCCATTGTTAGAGTACGTGCTAGACTATTGAATAGCCTTTACTATCCTTTGAACCCCCGAACTACTCTTTAGAGACCTTAACGAGTTTCGTACAAGAAAAGACATTGATTGTATTAAGGAAACATCTTGTTTTTCTTGAATATACATTATTTACCAGAGCACACTATGCAATATCTAGGTTGGAATGAGGCTATTAATATCTTATCAACTGAACTTGAGACAGTTAATTATTCATTACTTGCGAATGAAACGCAATTGTAATTTGATAAGAAAATGAATATTTTCATTTAAAAGACTGGATCAGGATCAGGAGGGCATTGAAAACCACAAATTATGAGATCATCCTTATATCCAGAAATAGAAAAAAATATTAGAGAAACTGTTAACAAAATCTCAGAGGGAGTTATAAATACAATAAAAACATACACATTCTTTGAAAAAAAAGGAATAAAAAAACACAAAATGGGGAAACGAGATATATCACAAGTACAGCAATCAAAATAAGAAGGTCACGTCGCTGAATAAGATAGCGCCTGGCGGCGATAGCGTTGGCTCTATTTTCAAGGCAACAACGGAATCGTTCACAAATCAGAGCAAAAGGATAGATAGGACTGTCTCCGGTAAAGTAATTTTCGTAGAACGTTTTGACATTGATTTATGATTTCTCTCCTCTTTAGGGTCATCTACGCTTGGTCTGGTAAGCATTAATTCCGAAAACTAACATTATTTGGTACGTCTCGTACCACATAACTGTAAGGTCTGAAACAAGAACTCGGGAATCAGTTTATCAATTTTTAGTATTATCTGCTTCCGTAACACTTTTGTCAGTCGATTTCTAATTCAATTTTACAATGGGATAAAGAATTTTCCTCCGAAAGTGTAATACTTTCTTCCGAGTATTAGTAATCTTTTCTGTAATTAATTAAAAATTCAATCTGAAATTAGTTTTTATTAATTAAATATTGAGAAATATAATACAATATAAGTAAAAGCATCACTGAACGGGCATGAAGCGTGCTTACTAATCGTGGATTTACAATCCGACCGAGCACGGCCCCACGCCCGCGATGCTGCCTGGGACCCGCCCTCCGCACAATGGCGGCTCCCGCGCCGCAGCGATTAAGCGCGCCGCGCGATCATTGTTCTCCAACTGGAGCGTGGGCGGCGCCGGGCGGCGAGCGCCGAGGGCGGCGGGGGCGGAGGGGACGCGGGGACGAAGATGTCGGATAAGGAGGACACAGAATCGGACGCTGATGGATCAGAAAGGTGGGAAAATGAAGGAGAGGAGAGACGATGGGAAGAGCGCGGACAGATGTGGGGATACGTCGAAGGGAAGATATGAGGACGGGGGG